AAAAAAAAAAAAAAAAAAAAAAAAAAATAAGAGTATGAAAATATACTTGAATAAAACATGAGTACTTATACTATGATTTAAATATTTCACTTTTAAACCACACAGATATTTTAAATAAAATTTAAAAAATAAGCTGGGGTAGGTGGCTCAGCCTGTAATCCCAGCGCTTAGGGAAGCTGAGGTGAGTGTATTGCCTGAGCCCGCGGGTTCGAGACCTGCCTGGGCAACTTGGCGAAACCTCATCTCTATAATAAAATAAAAAATTAGCTGGGTGTGGTAGGGCACACCTGTAGTTCCAGCTACTTGGAAGGCTGAGGCAGAAGGATCACAGGTCAAGGCTGTGGTGGCTGGGAGCGTGCCACTGCACTCTAGTCTGGGCGACAGAGTGAGACTCCAACTCAAAAAAAAAAAAATTTTTTTTTTAAAAGAAATGTTAAAAGCAAAAGGAATCTAAATGTGTAACCAATTGGTAAGACAACACAGAAAAGTCCAAGTGACTCTAATCCATAATAAAATAAATTGCTATCTATGTTGCTTAGAAATAAAAAACCACAAGGCACAAAATATGGCAAAACAATATTTAAATTGCTTTCAACACTATATGGCTATTGGTACTGTTATCCCAGCATTTTGGTGCAAAATTACAGAAGAAAAAAATCAGTATATAGGAATAAATGAGATATAAAATTTGCACATGGGAGAAAGAAGACAAAGATGTGAGACCGAAGAAATAAAAACCATGTAGCCTAGGCTGGGCATGGTGGTTCATGTCTGTAATCCTGGCACTTTGGAAGGCCAAAGCAGGAGAATTGCTTGAGCCTAGGAGTTCAAGACCAGCCTGGGCAACATAATGAGACTTTATCTTTACAAAACAACAACAACAACAACAACAACAAAAAGATTAGCTTGGTGTGATGGCACATGCCTGTATAGTCCCAGCTATTTGGGAGATTGAGCTGCAATCTGAGCCCAGAAGTCAAGGCTGCAGTGAGCTATGACCATAAAAAAGCAAAACCAAACCCATATAGCCTAAGTTTAAAGTAGAAGCATCAATATAAATTCTGTCTTAAAACAGTAACACATTTCTTGGCCTGTCCAATAAAAAGGATTAGAAACAATGATGAAAAAAGGAACCAAGAGCATTCCTTTGCCTAGCCAGTGGTCTGCAAAATACTATTTCCTCATAAAGTACTCTTGAGAACTGGCTGACCGTACGCCTTTGACATGAAATGTGTAGCAGCCTGGAACACTTTGTCATACTATGTAGCAAGGAAATGATTGAAGGTTACTAGGGATGTAAAAAAGAACTCAGGAGTCTACTGAAACAGGTCAAAATCAACATGGACAATAAATATATTTAAATATCCGAAAACCAAAAAACAACTGAAAGTTCCTATTTTAAAATTGCTAGAAAATACATTCTGTTCAAAAACTAGTAAGTAAAAGCTAGAACCAAGCATTTAGCATGCATTTCACATTGTAACCTCAGGGTAATGAAGATGAAAGCAAGCTTCTAAAAAACAGGTAAAAAGATAGAGAAATGGCACCATTCTGCAATCTTTAAATTTTTTTTTTTTTTTTTTGAGTTGGAGTCTCACTCTCACTCAGAAAGGAGTGCAGTAGCCACTCCCGGCCACTGCAAGCCTCGACCTGCTGGGCTCCGCCGATCCTTCCGCCTCAGCCTTCCAAGTAGCTGGAACTACAGGCGCGCGCTACCACACCCGGCTAATTTTTTTATTTATTATAGAGATGAGGTCTCGCCAAGTTGGCCAGGCAGGTCTCGAACCCGCAGGCTCACGTAATCCACTCACCTCAGCCTCCCAAAGGCGCGGGATTACAGGCTGAGCCTCCGAGCCCGGCTTTGCAATCTTTAATTAATTAACAGACTTCAGTCAATGATTATAGGACCTAGCTTTTCTTTCTTCTCTCTGTTGCCACCAAATCTAACCCAAATCCGATCAAGCCTCTAGATCTAGCTACCAATCTGTGTGAAATACAAGGAAAAGAAGACCACATTAAACTACTAAGAATAAAGGAGCACAATGTCTATTTTGAAAAACTCTGCAAGACAAACAATATGATTATTTTCACCAACACACTTGCAAAATAAAAAATACAAAGGTGAAGAAAGAAACCATTCATTTTAAAAAAGAAAAAAAGGCCAAGAATGGTGGTTCAAGTCCATAACCCCAGCATTTTGGGAGGCTTAGGTAGAAGGACTTTTTGAGCCTGAGTTCAAGGCCAGCCTAGGCAACATAGTGAGACCTTGTCTCTAAAAAAAATTTAGGCTGGGTACAGTGGCTTACGCCTATAATCCTAGTACTTGGGAGGCCAAGTGAGAGGACTGCCTGAGCCCATGAGTTCAAGATCAGCCCGGGCAACCTTGTGAGACCTCATCTCTACAATAAATAAAAAAATTGGCCAGGCTCAGTGGCTAAGCCTATACTCCAGCACTTTGGGGGCTGAGGCAAGAGGACTGCCTGAGCCCATGGGTTCGAGACCAGCCTGGGCATCTTTGGAGAGACCTGGTCTCTACAATAAAAAAAAAAAAAAATTAGCTGGGTGAGGTGGCATGAGCCTGTGGTTCCAGCTACATGGAAAGCTGAGGCAGAAGGATCACCTGAGCCCAGCAGGTCGAGGTTGCAGTGGTCATGAGTGTGCCACTGCACTCCAGACTGGGCAACAGAGTGAGAGACTCCAACACACACACCAAAAAATTAGCCAGGTGAGGGGGTGTGTGTCTGTAGTCCCACAGCTACTTCGGAGACTGAGATGGATGGATCACCTGAAACCAGGAAGACGAGGCTTCAGTGAGCCAGAATAGTGCCACAGTACTCCATCCCGGGTGATAGTGAGACCTCAGCTCAAAATAAATGAATACATAAATAAAAAAAAAAAGAAATGAGGAAAATATGAACAATGATTGGGTATTTGATGATGTTCAAGAAATTGTTCATTTTTCTTTTTTTAAATTGTTTCATTATAGGAATGTGCGGTACAAATGAGGATTAACTACATAAGTAGGCTGCATGCAGGTGAAGTTTGGGCTTCTAGCTGGTCCTCACTCTCCCTGGTAGTGGACCAGGTACGCTTTGTGCTGTCATGTGCCCCTCACTCTTCTAGTTCCCTCCCTCCCCTAACAGTGCCCAGAGACTGCCAATCCTTGTGCTACTGTGACTAATTCTCAAGGCACACTTATGAGTGAGATATCCTCCTAGTAGACTTAGAAGAATATTTTCAAAGGCTCAAAGCACAGGAAGGTGATAATAGGGAGCAGAGCATTAAGGGCAGAGAAAGTAGAATAATAACTAGTAAAAAGCTTCATCTATACTATGGAAACTAGTAATATTACCTACCAAGTTTTTAGAACAGTGTCTGACATAAACCTTCTTAATAAATATAAGTTCCTCTCATCCTAGTTCTTCCAATTACTGGTTGTGTGACAATGAGTAGCTTACTCCCATGCCTCATTATCCCCACCAGTAAAATGGAGAAATCAAGAACACTTAAGCATTAGGTTCTGTTTGTTTGTTTGTTTTGAGTTGGAGTCACTCCTTCGCCCAGATGGGGGTGCAGTGTCACACTCACAGCCACCCCAGCATCGACCTGCTAGGCTCCGGCAATCTTTCCGCCTCAGCCTTCCAAGTAGCTGGAATTACAGTTTCATGACACCACACCCAGCTAATTTTTTTTTAATTGTAGACACAAGAAGGTCTTGCCAAGTTACCCAGGCTGGTCTTGAACTCACAGGCTCAGGAAATCCACTCACTTAGGCCTCCCAAAGTGCTGGGATTACAGGCAGAGTCACTGAGTCCGGCCAGCATTAGGTTCTTATAAACATTAAGTGAGTCAATATTTGCTTAAAACAAACTGATACACAGTAAGAGCACAATAGGAGTTTGTAAGTATAACACGTTAATATTACATTTGCATTGTACTCTGCATCTTTAAAATAAAATATATATTAAAAAATAAAATAAAATCTCAACCAACTCAAAAAAATTATGTTTATAAATGGTAGTGAGATTAATTATTTCATATAGGAACAAGTAAAAATAAATATGTGTCTAGGATCATATTTTAGAACTGTGGCTCTGGTAGCAATGTGGAGAACAGATTGTTAAGAGGATCAAGCCAGGCTTGGTGGTTCAGCCTGTAATCCCGCACCTTTGAGAAGCTGAGGTGAGTGAACTGCCTGAGCCCGCGGGTTCGAGACCCGCCCGGGTACTTGGCGAGATCTCATCTCTACAATAAATCAAAAATTAGCCGGGTGTGGTAGCGCGTGCCTGTAGTTCCAGCTACGTGGAAGGCTGAGGCAGAAGGATCACTAGAGCCCAGCAGGACAAGGCTGCGGTGGCCAGGAGCAGCCACTGCACTCCAGTCTGGGCGACTGGACAACTCAACAACTCAACAACAACAAAACAAAAAAAAAAAAAGAGGATCAAGCTACAGCATAGCAGTCAAGAGGTTACTCCAACGGTTCAAGTCTAAACAAAGGCAATGACAGAAAGAAGTTCTGAAGCCAGATTTCAAGCGATCTGAAACAGATTAGACAAGGACAGATAGAGAGCAAGTGTTATCAATGAGAACCCCTAGGTTCCCATATGGCTATATGTTATTGTAGTGATGCAATTGATTGAGATGAGACTGAAAGTAATGTTTTTCATCTCCTGTTATTAAAAAAATATACCTACTGTTCATTTTGAGATCTGGAATTATCTTTGTCTTTTTTTTTTTTTTAAAGGCTAGTTAAGTGAGGCAATAGAAGTTGAAAAAGAACAAAGATCTCTTTAACTGGTTGTGATCCACTAGTTGGAGAAATCATTGGACTTGGACCAGCTTAGAATTATCTTATATGCTGCAAATCAGCATCTATGAAAACTTCATGCTATTTAAAGTCACACTTTTGAAAATAACTGCTGCATACAAAGTATTTTAATGCCCTATCAAATGATTTCCTAAAGTAGCATATAAAACAAGCCAGAAACTTTAAAAATATCATTATGGATTTTTACATAATATTATCTGTCAGTGCTTTTAAAATTCTTAAACAGATAAATGAACAAAAACTTTCTGGTTTCACATAGTCCTTTTCTCTGTTTACAAGTATTTCTTACCATGATTGGCTTGCCCTGAAATGTTTTAACTTCTTCTCTTAGGTATTTGAAAGCCTGTTAACAAAGCAGAAAGAAACTTTCACTAGCATTCAAACATTTCATTAAAGTAATCTTCCTTCTATTAAGATAGTTTAAGCAGCCAGGGACTATGGCTCATGCCTGTAATTACAGCTCTTTGGGAGGTAGAGGTGAAAGGATTGCCTGAGTCCAAGAGTTCAAGACCAGCCTGGGGAACACTGCAAGATCTTGTCTCTACAAAAAATCAGTCAGGCATGGTGGTGCACGCCTGTAGTCCCAGCAACTTGGAAGGCTGAGGCAGAAGATTGTCTGAGCCCAGCAGGTCAAGGTTGTGGTAGCCACGATTGTGCCACTGGTGAAAGAGTGAGACTCCGACTCAAAAAAGAGAGAGGGAGAGAGTTTAATATTAGCAACTTTTTCTAAACTTAACAAATTCTGAAGGTAATTCCATTGTGCAGGTGATAGGGAAAGAAAAAGTAAAAATTTAAACCCTCAGGCATAGTTCACATTTATTATAGAAGAGCTACAGTGGATTACTGCAAACAAAATATATACATTTCAAAACACACAAAATATCTCAGATGTCAATTTTTATAAATTTATTTATTTTAGGCCAGGCATGGTGGTGTATGCCTGTAATCCCAGCACTTTAGAAGGGAGAGGCAAGAGGACTGCCTGGGCTCAGGCGCTTGAGACCAGCCTGAGCAACATGGTGAGACTTTGTCTCTACAATAAATCAACAAATTAGACGGGCGTGATGGCGCACACCTGTAGTTCCAGCTACTTAGAAGGCTGAGGCAGAAGGATTGCCTGAGCCCAGCCAGTCGAGGCTGCAGTGGTCATGAGTGTGCCACTGTACTACAGCCTGGGCAACAGAGTAAGAGTCTAACTAAAAAAAAAAAAAAATTATTTTAAAGAGAAAATAAATTGTCATCCATGCTGGAGCGCAATGGCATGATCACAGTTCACTGCAGCCTCAAGTTCCTGGGCTCAAGCAAAACTCTTGCCTCAGTCTTCTGAATAGCTGAGATTATGGGCATAAACTACCATACCCTGCTAATGTTTAGATTATTGTAAAGACCAAGTCTTGTTATGCTGGCCAGTCTGGTCTTGAACACCTGGCCTCAAGCGATACTCTTCCCTCAGCCTCCCACAGTGCTGGGATTACAGGTAAGGGTCACTACAACCAAGCCTGGTTATCCAATTTTAAAACGATTTAAAAAATTCTAAGCTGGCTGGGCACAGTGGCTCACGCCTATAATCCTAGCACTTTGGGAGGCCGAGGTAAGAGGATTGCCAGAGCCCACGGTCCAAAACAAGACTGGACAACTTGGTGAGATCTCATCTATACAAAAAAAAAAAAAAAATTAGCTGGGTGTGGTGGCACGTGCCCAGCAGGTCAAGGCTGCGGTGGCCAGGAGCGTGTCAACTGCACTCCAGCCTGGGTGACAGAGTAAAACTCTGGCTCAAAAAAACAAAAAATAAAAATAAAAACTCTTAAGCTAAAGATTGTTTTTTCTTTTTTTTCCCAAAAGAACTACATCATTGAATGATTTAAAAATGCTACCATAGATTTATCTGTTTCAAAGGAATACCAGTTTTTTTAATGTAGGATATGGTAACAATTAAAAGCATTGAGCAAAACTCCAAGAATTTGTTTATTGCAGACCTATAATGTACTTAAAATACTACTGAGTACATGGTCTCAATCCCCATTTTTGTTTATTGCAGACCTATAATGTACTTAAAATACTACTGAGTACATGGTCCCAATCCCCATTTCCAAAACTGTGTGTCAATTTTTTATTGACAGAAGACTTTTAAAAATCAAAACTGAAAAGTTTTGGAAAAATGATTAAAAAGGAAGCCAATTAAACAAAAGCAAAAAGGTTACAGAGGGGCTCACAGGCCTTGATAAACATCAGTGCAAACATTTCTCAATTAAAATATACCACTACTTATTTTACAACCAGGAATTGTATCAGAAGAAAAGTGTTTTCTTCTCACCTGTTGGGCATCTGTGTCTGACTGGAACGTGACATACCAGCTGCTATTGTGTGCAAACTCACAGCTTATTACTTTGGGACAATTTTCATTTTTGAACAAAGCTTTCACTTCCTAAAAAAGAAAAAATTTAGTTAACTCTAAAAAGGTAACAATAGTTGGCATTTTTTTGGTGTCCTAGTAAGTTGAGCATCTTTTCATGTCTTTTGGTCTTTTCTACTGCTTCACTTGTTAACTGTTATTAACCATTTATGCCTTTATAGTAAAGAAAGATTATGTTCTGAAACAAAAACTTATATATATGGCTAGTCAAGTGAAGCACTGGGAGATACACACACACACACACACACACACACACACACACACACACACTCACACACGCATCACTTTTTTCTTTTAAATACATTTGAGGGGCCAGGCATGGTAGCTCACAACTATAATCCCAGCACTTAGGGAGGCTAAGGTGAAAGAATTGCCTGAGCCCAGGGGTTTGAGACCAGACTGGGCAATTTATCCAGACCTCATCTCTACAGTAAATAAAAAAAATTAGCCAGCTATGGTGGCACATGCCTGTAGTTCCAGTTACTTGGAAGGCTGAGGCGGAAGGATCACCTGAGCCCAGAAGGTGAAGGCTGTGGTGGTAGTGAGTGTGCCACTGCACTCTAGCCTAGGCAATAGAGCGAGACTCCAGTTCAAAATAAATAAATAAATAAACAGAGATGAGGTCTTCACTTTGTTCCTAGGTTGGTCTCTAACTCCCGGGCTCAAATGATCCTCCTGTCTCAGTCTCCCAAAGTGGTGGGATTACAGGCATAGGCCACCACACCCAGGCAGTTATAGTATATTTTATACACGATTGGAATATTTCATTTCCAGTGGCAAGCTAAATTTTCCTCACAGTAAAATCTCTGCAGTCCTTTTCCTACCTGGCCTGAATTTTTTTTTTTAAAATAAAGTAATGTCCTTTAATAACATTTTTTTTTTCTGAGTCGGAGTCTCTGTTGCCCAGGCTGGAGTGCAGTGGCATGCTCATGACCACCGCAGCCTTAACCTACTGGGCTCAGGTAATCCTTCTGCCTCAGTCTTCCAAGCTGGAACCACAGGCACATGCCACAACGCCTGGCTAATTCTTTGATTTATTGTAGAGACAAGGTTTCATCATGTTGCTCAGGTCGGTCTTGAACCCCTGAGCTCAGGCAATCCTTTCACCTCAGCCTCCCAAAGTCCTGGGACTACAGGCTTGAGTCACCATGCCCGGCTAACATTTTTCTAAGGAATAAGAATTTTCATACATTCTCATTTAATCCAGATGCACTGCCTATATCAGAGACCTAGACATGAACTCTGTGCTAACATATCTTCTTTTTTCCATTACTGATAGATGTAAACACAAGCTCCAATAAATATACAGCTTCAGAAAAAGATAATTACCACCCAAACTCAGAATGGTAAAAATGTTGATGGCTTGAAAGATGCTTATAAAAAGAAAAGAAAGTCAGGTGTAGAGTCTCACACCTGTAATCCCAGCACTTGGAGAGGCTGAGGCAAGAGGATTGCTTGAGCCCAGAAGTTCAAGATCAGCCTAGGCAATATAGCCAGAACTGGACTCTTAAAAAAAAAAAAAAAAAAAGTT